ATTTCCAGGGCATCAGAAACCTGAAATTTATGTTGAGGATCTCCTAAATTTTGAAGGTGGGCACCAAATTTGAAAATGTTTAAAACACCATGAAGGGGGGGAAAAGTCTATAAGCCAGGCTTGGCTACAGGCTTCCAATCTGTGACCTGTGTCCATAACCTTTCCTTTATTAATTGATACCTTTATTCACGTCTTCCACGTCCCCTTGACCCCACCTGCTCTCTCAAGTTCCACACTCCCAGTTGTCACCTCTAGACATTTCGATCTGACTGTTCAGCTGACCTCTCAAACTCAAAATTGAACTCATCTTCTTTCCTAGACAACCGCTTCTCCTGCAGACGTCTTTATGTTAATAGAACCACTTCTCTTCCTTTCACTGAGATTCAAAATCTCAGGCATTAACATAAATACATTCTTATTGAAAACTCATGATGTGTCAGATACTGTACTAAACAACAGAGGATTGACAAGGCACGTTCTCTGACCCCCAGAAGCTCACAGTCTACTGGAGGAGACATGCAGCAGAGAGAGAATGAAACACAATTTGATAACTACTCCAGAAGATGTGTATTCAGAGGCTTAAGTTTTGAAACAGGATCAATCCAGGCATCGGAGAATTTGGTAATTCAACCAATAGTCATTGACTTCCTACAGTATTCTAAACCCCAGAGTTAAAGCCACACTTCAAGTACTGAAGAGACAGTTTTGCAAAACACAGATTTCTTGCTCTCACACAATTAATTGGGGGAGATTAGCAAAGAGCAAGGAGGCAAATAAACAAGATAATTTCAGTTAGGGATCAAAGTCTCCAGGCTGCTGCGAACAAGTTTGCAGTGTGTCTTCTGCACTGAGGCCCAGCTGAGGGGGTGGACAGGTTCTGCACTAGCCAGAGGGGGTACCTTTTTCTAATTACTACCAAGACATTATACACCCTTGCAGCTGCCCTGAATCTCACAAAGTGAAACCAAGTGATGTGGAGACTATTTAGATGAGGTAGTCAGGGAAGGTCTTGATGCTGAGATCCAAATGATGAGATCATCTAAAGGGAGGGTCTCTTCAGGGCAGAGAACACTCAATGGAACAGCTCTGAGGCAGAAGCAAACCTGGTGAGTGTGAGGAACAAAAAAAAACAAAAAAAACTGGGGGGTAGGAGGGGGGGGCTAGCAACAAGATGCGCCTGTGTGTGCATGTGGGCAAATGCATTGAGACCCTTCTCAGCTTCTTTGTAAGGTGTTTTGGGGCTGATGTGAATGTTAGGAAATGACCTAGAAAGAGAAGATTCCAGTTAGATTGTGGAGGGTTATAATAGGTTAGCCAATGACGAGCCAAAAGTGGGAAAGGGAGATTGTATAATCAGAGATTTGTTTTGTTTGGTTTTTAAGGAAGATAATTCTACCGGTGGCTAGCAAGTCAGTTAGGACATTATAATAGGGAGAAAATGGAAAGAATAAAGAGGGGAGATGATATGCAAAAGATATTACCAAAGTAAGAACGATAGGACTTGGTGTCTAATTGGATACTGTGGGTGAAAAAAAGGAAGGCTTGAGAGGCCACCTGTGATGCCCTCCCTCCCTCAGTCACACCTTGTCCTAAGTTCCTCATGGGTCATGAGGTTCCCAAGGTCTGACAGTGTCTTCTTTCACTTGTCTCTCTGTCTCTCAGCTTCCTTTCCATGCATGAACTCCTTCCTAGTCTCCAGATATCCTTTCTCTTTCCTCTGAACTGATGTGGTACTTCATTTATGCATCCCACAATGCCTCTCACATTATAGCTTTATTACTGTGTACCTGTTTTATCTGTAAGTTATTTGAAGAGAGGAACCAAGTTTTATTTATCTCTGCATGACTCAAATGACAATTCCTGCCTCATTATGGAGGAAGGAAAAAGAGAATCAATGAGTAAAAAGTGGCTACATACTAAGTGAGAGTAGGGTGGTTTGTAACATGCAGTCTTAGCAAAACACACACAGAGATTAGTCAATAAATAATTACCCATAAGATGAACTTCATCTTTATGTAGACTTAGTTGTAAATTTGTTTAAGGCAGTTCTTACATTGACTGTATACATTTTTCTTATACCAGCTACACCTAATAACAATGCTCAATAAATGTAATCATTTGCTTCTAAATAATCACAGAAACAAATAAATAAAGTTGTCAGGTAAGAAGATAGGTGGACAAGCCAGAAAGCCCCCAGTGGTCGCATGCAGGGTTAGACAATGGTGTCTACCTCCTGTGGCCCCTTTACTCCAGTATCAGCCCTGAGCCCTCTCACTCCATCTGCCATCACTGAGGGTCATGACCCATGAAGAACTTATGAGAAGCAAATTACTCCAAATTACAAGAGAAGTTTATCTTGCAAGGTCACCTCTCCTGGTAAGAAGAGGAAGAAAGGCTATTTATGCCAACGTTGACTGATGTCACCAATTTCCAACTTTGGTTGGTTGCACGGACAGTCTGGAAAGATCCAGCTATTCTTTTTCCTATTATGGCATGAAGTTGTAAAGCACATGTGAAAATGATATAGCAATCATGGAGCACATGTCAACATTTTTGTGTGCATTTCTAGTTTGCATTTTAGCTTCAATGAAAAAAGGGTGGGGGGACATTTGGTGGAAGCGAAGTGGAGTTAAGAGTGGTGAGACTGTATTTTGACCTGATCTCCACCAGTTACCACAGCACATGAAGCCCAGGGAGTCCTAGCTAAGTTCCTGAAAGCCAGCAGCCATGTCTGTGGCAATCAAAGACACCACGCCGGTCCAAGCAAATGGGTATGAGGCCAAGAAAGAAGAGGCCCTCTGCACGTCTTGCTTTATTTTACAATAAACAAAGAGCATGGCACAATGAGAGCCGTGTTCCCTGTGTTCTTCATGAGAAAGAATAAAGAAGATATTCTGTGAAGTGCTTACACATAATGTAGAAGAGAGAGATTCCACAGGGTGGAACCGCTGGTTGAATTCTATCCTCAGAAGTGAGCCCAAGAAGAGAGGCAGGCTTCAGAGTGAAGATATTCATCTGTTCTTGGTGTTATGGATTCTGTAAGCAACTGTGGCCTTAGTGATGTCTCCATAGATTACTATGAGATCCTGTTACTAAGAGAATCACAGCTTTTCCACTCTGGCCGCCTGCCCGTTTTACTTATTTATACACTGAATGCTGCCTTGGCATGGTTTGCTCTTCAGGTGACAAAGGAGCCTGGCTTTCTGAAATAGGAATGCCACACTTACTTTCCCAGTGCTTGGTGTTGTTTCCTAGGAAAGAATTGGGCTGTAGCCTCTCCTGGGAAAAGTGGTGAGTGGCCCTTGGAACTTTTGTTGTTAATAATCTCAACTGTCCGCATTTATCTCAACAGGGAATGGGAACATACTGGGCCAGGGGGAGAACTAATTATTTGGCTGAAAAGTGAGAGTCATGAGGCCCTGGGAAAACATTACCTACACAGAAAACAAAAATCCCTTTCCTGAGTGTTCTAGGAGAGGGCCACAGCCAGAAGTGATAGAGCTGCCACCAGATGAGTAATCCCGAGTCCCCACCTTGGCAGCCTAGCGACGCACTCCCAAGGCTGTATCCTGGGACTGATGGCTGTGCCTACACTCTTTTCTCTCACCCCAGGAAGCGTATAAAAATGCAAGAGAGTGAGGGTAACTTTATTATACAAATACTTCGAAATACATTCTGTATTTTAAGTAAATAGAAAATATGTTGTTTTAAGTACATCACTGGAAAAAGTCAGTACTTTATTATGAAAAATAAATTCTCATGATCTACCTCTCAAGTGAAATGATAGCCTAGGTCTGAGGGAGAGACCAAATAATTTCTTCTATATTGATGAGGTCCTGGGGAGTAGGAGGAAGTAACTGGACTTCTGCCACTCAGCCCTTCCAGCCCAGGGCTGAGCAGGCCCTATCTCAGTATTTGTTGTCCAAGAGCTTGTAGGTAGAAGACTGCAGAAGGGTCTAATATGAAAATGCACCCTCTACCTTGCTACTCCAAGTATGGCTTGCTGACCAGCCAAAGTGGCAACTGTGATATCACCTGGAGGCTGGTTAGAAATGAAAGACCTCAGATTTCACCCCATTCTTATTGAATCAGAACCTGCATTTTAATAAGGATCGCCCCGCTGATTCTTTGAAGTGAGCTGGCAGATTACAAATTCGTCTCCACTCAAACATCTCTCCCAGCTACTGTAAAATCCCCATGTCAGTCTTCCATCCTAGCATCAAATGTAATAACGCAGTGTAAAGCAAACCAGCAGCAGAGTGAATCTGCAAAGCTTGCAAAAGAGGCAGGATTTCACAGAATTAACAGACATGATCTCGGAGAACTACTCCAATCACATGCAACACACATCGGCAAGTGAGGGAATGGCAGCCTTAGACCCCTTAACAAGTAAAAAAGAGGTCATCCAAAGGATGGTAACATTCCTCCATAAAGAAAATAAATTGAATATCAAAGAATTAAGACAGGCCCTTGGGGAAAATGATGAGGCTTGTGAGTATATTTGTTAAAAAATACTTTATGACTGTGTTGTGAAAACCAAACATATGAAAAATTATGCGCCAAAGGAAAAAAAAAAACAAAAAACACTTGTCTTCAATTATTCTAAGGAGCACATTGGTTTAGTGATAACTTAAACGGTATCATGTGAGGCAAGTTATACTTTCATTAGTTTTAGTTCCATTTTTCAAGACAAAGTCTAATCAACCTTGTAGTCACCATTTCTCATGATGTTCGGTCCTTGTTCTAAGTGCATTCCTGCTAAGAGGACTTCCCCAAGGCCAGTTTTCCTCCAGCAACAAGACCCGCTGAACTCTAATGCATATTGGTGCATACTCCTGTTTCTTTCCCCCTTATGGGACTTGGTTTTGGTGCCTCTGACCAGTGTGGGATAACTGACACCAACTTACTCCACAGCTTGGTTTCCTGGTTGGCTGTTTTAGCACATTGTGATGTCACAGAAGGGGTGATAGCTCTAGTGGCAGGTATCTGATAGTGGTTACCTTGTCGACCATAAGGAAGTTCTCCAACGTCTCTCCGTTTTCACAGGTGACATCGCCAACCTCTCTTACGGCTCTGGGCAGGATCTCTCGCACCTCCTGGGCAATCATTCCTAGACACAAAACACTCCAACAGGTTTAATCAGGAAAAGACCTTTCTGGAAAAAATCCTCCCAGGCCTCCATCAGAATGGAACACAGACAGCCACGCAAATAGATGCTTATCCCTTCTCAGCTTTTGCTTGGATCTATGATGCATTTGAAGCAAAGGGGAAATATTGAGCCAAGAACCACTATAGGATTAAAGTGGGAGTGTCATTTTCTTTTCTTTTCCTTATGTCTGGGCCAAATGTTGGAAGGGGTGAGTAAATACCTTAAAATTCCTCTACAGAGAAGCAAGGGTGGGGCGTTAGCTTTAATTCGTTTCTTTTCCTGCAGGAGGACTTTGCCCCTAAATGGTCTTTCTTTCTTTAGGATTCCCAGGTTGCAATATAGACAGCACTTGCCCCTTCTTTGACCTAGACCCACCTACCTTGCCATCTCCTCCCTCCATCCCAGGACTGCCTCAGGTAGTTTGAACTGCCATCTGCCCCCTCCACCCTCATCCCATAAGCAAGAGGACTCCAGTGAAAAGAAACAATATATTCAAAATACTCCACCCGGTACCTGGGGGTGCAGAAGTGGGGGATGGGAGTGCTGAGTAAAGAGGGCAGATGTTTCTTTAACCTTTTCTGTTCTAGTGATTATGGGTTTCACAGTTAGACCAACAGGATGTTGTCAAGTGCCAAACCTGGAGTTTTCCAGGTAAAGAGCGAATTAAAATTTTAATAGTTGACAATGCCAAATTGTGTACCTGTGTGGTGAGCAGTGTTTATTCCCATCGCAGATGCGAATTCAGGTTTGTAGTCGTATTCCACAATCCTCATTTGGGCTATTCTCCTCAGCTGCTCATTTGTGTCAACCTAATTTAATTAAAGAAGAGCAGATTTCACCTGCTTAGGTATTTGCTATTCAAATCAATGCCCATAGTGACCCAGAGAGATTAGGAATGTTGCAAATGGGATTGTCTTTTCCTCTTGGCCAGACCATTTTAAGGAAAATTTGTATTTTTCTCCTTAGAGAAGCCAGTGGGTTTCATGTTTCAAGGTTCATGTCCGTGATTCCATCCACTGATTTGTAATCTGAACCAGTTTTTATATCTAAATTCCAGGGCACAGTCTCCCTCATTCACGGCTCTTGCCTTCCTTCTCTCCTCTGAAAGGTGAACCCTGCTTCTGAGAACGGAGGTCACTCACTTTGGAGGGAAACAATTGCTGTTCAGGATTGCAAAGTGTCATTTCCAAATGAACACACAAGTATAAACACCAAACAAATACAGGCCAACCTGTATTAATAAGTTGAAAATGCAATATTTAGAGCCGGCCAAGTGGCGCGATGGTTAAAGAGCTGGCTTGGGATGCAGAGGGCCCTGGTTCGGATCCCACATATGAGGGCCAGTGACACTGCGCCCTCTACAGCTAAGATGGTGAACAACAGCTCAACCTGGAGCTGGGCTGCCATGAGTCAGCCGCGCAGGCAGGTGGTTTGCCATGGACTACCATGTGTAGCCAGCAGCCAGCGTGAGCGGCCAGCAGCCGCAGTGAGCGGCCGTCCAGAAGCCGGGGACTAATCTGCATCGCCCGGGAAGAGCGCAATGATGGTGCCAACTTGGGTCATTGAAACAACGTCCTCCATAACTAGACTGAAGAACAAAAGGACAGCAACTTGTCTGTTTCCCTTCCCCCAATTCCCCAATAAAAATCTTAAAAAAAAATGCAATGTTTAGTTCTAGTAAGAACCTTTGAGGTATGTATCTATCCTCCATCATTGAATTGCTCTTAGATATTTTGCTAGGAAAATGTCTTCATGCGGCAGATGAGAAGTCCAGGTTGCCCAACTGCTGGACAACCCAGAGCTTCCCCTCCAGGGGATGACTCCTCCCCCAGACAGCCCAGCTAGTGATGTGTCCTCTGAGCTCTCGGCTCTTGGAAGTTGTTAAAGGCATTCACAATGGTCACTGCAAATTCCTCAAAAAATTTCACTGGGTCCCAGCAAAATGATAACAAGAAAGACAACAGAGTGAATTTTTCCTAAAGCTAAATGTATTTGATTCAAAGGGTTCCTCTTTAAATTAACGGG